GGGTAGAAGTTTATAAAAACCAAACAAATTCTAATGGTTTTCTCAGTTGTTGCTCTTAATCAGATTTTAGTGTATTATAAATGTTTCATTACCGAAAAAAGTAAAATATGCGACAACTCTTGTTGACTGCCCGGACGATTTAGCTGCTGTGGGCATATGTTTCGTTGCCTGGCAACCTATCTTCTTTTTGTATGTTGACAATGTATGGAAAGTCAACAAAAGGTTTTCCATGCACAACTATATTATATGCTGTATTAAAAAGTTTTGAATAGGCTTCCACAGAAGAAGATTTCATTGTTGCATCTATTCTGGGTTGGTCACTTGACGTTGGCTTGGCACTATCACTTGTTGAACTTGTTTGCATTTTATCATAATCAGCTGCTAGTTTGTGTGCTCTACCAGAAAGATGCCTATTTAAATTGAATTTTTTAATGTAACTGGTTCCTATTACATAGTTCATGATATCATTCGACACCTGTCCTTTTGTTGCCATTGTTTTAAGAAAATTGCTATTCCTGGCACAGAGTTTGCAGTAAACATGTGTGACCATCGCTTTCTGTTTTTGACAGTCATACTCTTCTTTAAAACCAATTTCCGTATGGATTTCTTCACCCCACGACATAAATGTGGATAGGGCAATCGGGTTTCCTTTGGCCATTATTAGCTCAGATTGAAAATTATACGACTGCACAATAGAGAGAGAGAGAGAGAGAGAGAAATGGGGTTTAACGTCCACTTGACACAAACTAGGTCATTTCGGGACTAACATGGTTTAATTTTATTTCAATAATACGCTTGCGCATAGGGGTCTTTAGCAGTGGGAGGAAACCGGAGGACCCGGAGAAAACCCACGAGGTTGGACAGGTGACCCTACTCCTTGTCACGTACAACCGGGGAATCGAAACCACGCCAGTCGACTCAATGACACACTTTATGATACAGCGCGCACGCTAACCATTCAGCCATCCAACCCCCCGCACAATGGAATAGAAACCGAAGTTCTGATAAAATAAGAAATACCGATAAATATTAGTTTGAAATGTGTTCATTTAGCGTGAATGCCAAATGCCGGATGTAAACATTCTTTACTTTAGACTCGATTATCACACGTTTTTTACTGGTGTTCGTAGGAAAACCAGTTATGACGTTCAGGTCTAAAGTGTATTTTTAGTAACACGACTTGACCTGAGTGGGGAGTAACTTCATTAGCCAATCAAATTTATGGAGGAAATGCCGCGTGCAGCTGGGTGAATCTCAGTTTGACAAACAAATTTATGACAATATTGACATTGTTGGGTTAGTTTCGGCAATAAACTTGTCAATATTTTGATTATTTTTACAGCTTTTTCTTAAAGTTTGCGCGAGCAACGAACAGCTCGCGTAAATGTAGATTTACGCAAGCACAGCGCGAGCAACTGCTCGCGTCTCGTGGCAAGCCCTGATGAATCCAGGGTTCTGTGTGTATCGGGAGCGAGGCAGTGGCATAGCGTGAAGGGGACCTCCAGGGTGGTTGCCCTGCACACAAATTTTTAGAGGGCACCAATCTTCAAATAAAATTTCACATTGATCACATAGACAACCCACACAATTTTTTCAAACACAAAAAAAAATGTGAATGTGGAAAATCAGGATTTATGGTGCAGACATGATGCATGAAATGTGGCATTTAAAAAGGTAGGGTCAGTACAGCTCTGGCACGATGACATGCTACTAGCTTTCTGTACTGGTGTTACTCTGAGGGACCCATTTTGGATTGTCATTGCTGACACTGTTTGTCTCCAGGCTGTATACTTGATGTTGGACAATTACTGACTTTTGATTTTTATATGTCCACATTGAAATGTGGTCGTATATTGCCGTCGCCCCAGTCCGTCCGTCCGTCCGTCCAGTGTCCACCATTGCTTGTGGGCGCTCTAGAGGCTAAAGTTAATATCAGATTGACTTTAAATTAATACACATTGTTTAAGGTCATGAGACAAAGACGCCTATTGATTTTCAGCGATTTCCGATAATTACTGCCAGAGTTATGGCCCTTGATCACTTTGAAAAATCTTGTGGACGCTCTAGAGCGTAAAGTCAATAGATCTCCAGGCACACCTGTGTGCCGCGGCACACTTGTTGAGAATCACTGCTCTAGAGGCTAAAGTTAATATCCGATTGACCTTAAATTTAAACACAGTGTTTAAGGTCATGAGATGCAGAAGCCCAGTGACTTTCAATGATTTCCGATAATTACTAGCAGAGTTATGACTCGTGATCACTTTGAAAAATCTTGTAGATGCTCTAGAGACCAAAGTTATCATGTGGTTGACTTTAGATTGATACACAGAGTTTAAGGTCTTGAGATGAACAAAAATATTGATTTTCAATGATTTTTGATAATTTTAACGTCTAAATCCATGATATTAAATGTTTTGTATACTAAACGTTTGCATAGGGCAGAACTAAAAGCCAAACAAATTCCAATGATTCTCTGATAATTACTTAATGAGTTGTTACTCTTAATCAGATTTTTATACCCCCACATTTTCATGTGGACGTATATTGTCGTCGCCCCTGATTGTACGAAAACAATGTAAGTTTATAACCCAAAGATCTCGGTTTTGATATTCGTGCATATCGGAACGTAACTTCCTGAATTATCGCCCCTGATTGTACGAAAAATCGCGTTTTTAGCTTGTGGACCCTATAGAGGTCATAATTTTTGTCTGATTTAAAAAACCGTATTATTATATCACCGTTACACCCTAAGGACGACTGTGTTCGAAATTCGTGAAAATCAGCCCAAAACTGACAGACAAAATGGCCGCTCTTCGTTCTCAAATAGCATAAAAATATGGTATAACAAGGTTGTGGACTCGATAGAGGTCACAATTTTTATCTGATTTTGATGAAACTTGAAATGTAAGTTTATAACCCAAAGATCTCGGTTCCTTTCAATATTCGTACGTATCGAATTGTAATTTCCTTAAATATGTCCCTTGATTGCAGGAAAAATCACTTTCTTTCCATCTGTCGAAAATGTGGGCGTATCGTGCCTGGCAGCCGCTGGTAGAAAAAATATGCGACAACTCTTGTTGACTGCTCGGACGACTAAGCTGCTGTGGGCGTATGTTTCGTTGCCTGGCAACCAACTTTACACCTTGTGCAACTATGTTTCACTGTAATAAGTAAAGTTGTTATGGTCAATGTGGGTTGTTGTTAATTTACTTGTCAGTAAATGTTCAGCTGCGTCAAATCAGTGGTTTGTTTTCATTGAGCTTCATTACATATACTATTCAAAAAAAGTAGGGGATATTTGATTTTTAAGTGTTATTAAAGTCACCTAATGAAACTGACGAAGAAACAAATGACAAAATGAAATGAAGTTCACATTCATCGATTTATTGCAAATGATCGTTAGACTAAGTAAGGCACAGACTGACCATTATAAGTGTAAAATGATACCCGGGGTCAAACAGCAAAGTTACCACAGCATCACAACCAAGTCAGTAACGGGTAAATCCTCCTCTGTTTGCCAAACAAGCATTGATCCGACGTGGCATACTCCTAATGAGACGTCTAAGGTCATTTTGGTCCAGATTGTCCCATTCCTGTTGCAACGCAGCAGCAAGTTCTTGGACATTGGCAGGACGTTGTTGACGTTGACGTAACCTCTGTCCAAGCATGTCCCAGACATGCTCGATGGGGGAGAGGTCGGGACTCAGTGCTGGCCAAGGTAATGTGGTGATGTTCTGTTGTTGGAGGTAACCTGTAACGATCCTGGCCCTGTGACATCTTGCGTTGTCATCCAGGAAGATGAAACGGCGGCCATGACATCGTGCGAACGGCACAACATGGACTGCCAAGATGTTGTCCCGGTAGTACTGGCCTGTTACACGCCCTGCAACAACATGTAAAGCCGTTCTTCCAGCAACAGTGATGCCTCCCCACACCATAACAGAACCACCCCCAAATCGATCATGTCTGATGACGTTAACGTCTTGGAAGTGCTCGTTTCGACGACGCCACACCCTCCTATGTCTGTCCAAAAAATCAACAGTGAACCTTGACTCATCTGAAAACATCCCAGTGTTGACGATCCCTACACCAACGACGTCTTGCCTGAATGTGATGATCTCTCAAACAAGGGATCACGCGAGGACGTCGGGCGCGAAGATGACCCCTATGCAGTCGATTCCGAATCGTCTGGCCACTCACTCTCACACCAGTGTCTGTTTGAAGACGAGCGCTGATCTGATTTGCTGTGATGACCTGATTTCTCAAGGCCAAGGTACGGATAAATCGATCCTGGGCTTGAGTTGTCGCCCTTGGTCGACCTGAGCGTGGTCTGTCCTGTACAGATTGTGTATCACGGTATCTGGACCATAGCCTGCTTATGACAGACTGAGAAACATTCATCGTCCGCGCCACAACCGCCTGTGTTGTGCCGATCTGTAGCATGCCAAGGGCACGTAACCTTTCATTTTGGGTAAGCCGACGCATATCAAAATTTGTTTTCTGGTCACTAAAACAATTAAACTGATGTTTCCACCCTGGAATTCAATGCCACAATGACTGTAACATTCAAAGTCAGAGTCGTGCAAATCTTGGGTTGGACCCCCATGATGATCCCAAGCATCACCTGCATTCCATGCGGTAGCTATTGGTGCGTTTGGGCGTCACATGTAACTGGAAATGTTTCTTCTGTTAGGTTCTATAGTGACTTTTTTCGTAGTCATTTGCATATTTTAGTATTATGCCCCCAAAATCAAATATCCCCTACTTTTTTTGAATAGTATATATTCAAATTTTAATGGTTTAAAACCACAAATTTAGAAGTAACATGCATTGAAATAAGCATTTTAGCATACACTTTACAAGGTTAAGAGTTTTGAATTCCGATCCATATTCTGCCCTTTCTTTGATCTGCCCTTGCCCTAATTGTAACATTTGGTCACCCAGTCTGTAAAGTTGAAAGGTTAGCTGCCCATGTGACCATTTTTTTTTTGTATTTATAGGGCAGAAGAATGGTAAATTAGATATAAGAAATGGTCAGGATGGAAGAGAAACAGTGGATGTAGATCCTACTTCTGGAGAACCATTACCCTCCTCCTCATCACACCCAACAGATACAGTATCAACTGTAGAAGCTACTCCTAAATCATCTAAAACAATTCCTGCAAAGCAATCCAAACAGAAGTCTGGACCAGAAGAGGTAATAATGGAAAAGAAGACCAAGTCCAAATTGTCGACTTCACCTAAAGTTTCGGAAGAGACATTTACTCCAATGGCTAAAAATCTGCCTCATGCCACATCCACACCAGTAGCAAATGGAGTCTGTGAAACAAATGCTCCAACAAATTTATCAGGTGAGAAATTTTCCTTACGATGGTACAGGTACATGTAGATCTACCGCAGTGAGCCATGGTGTCTCGATGCGTTAGGTGCTAGCTCATCAACAATAATTTATGGGTGTTTAATCCTAGTGTTGGCTTTTGCCTGTCTTTATTATACTGGTTGGTGCAGAACATTAGGAAATTAAACCCCAATTTCCTACAGAAGATGTTTCCTTTGTAATGCCAAAGTGAAAAAAATGGAAATAAAAAATTGAAAACTTATCTATAAAGAATAAAAATCATATATCACAGAGCCGTGAACCAATGTTGTAATGAAGGCGCTCTATGAATTAATTATTACATAAATAACCTTTTTACTTACTAATCATTGAATATACATATAAACCACATCTTGTAATATGCACCTTTGTGTATATATATAAACCACATCTTGTACTATACACCAGTAAATATACATATAACTAGATTTGCATGGCAGTGCTGAATCGGCTTTCAGGCAACAGACCCGAAGGAAGCATACGGAAGTCCATTCACTGGGCTATCGAACGATACTTTAGCTCTTTTGATCTGGTAATATCCAACGGTGAAATCGTGTTTTTGTCAAAAATCTTCATCTTTTTGCATTTTTTTCAAAATATCAGATTTTTTTTCGACTACTTCCGTTTTTATACGCCCACATTTAAATGTGGTCGTATATTGTCGTCACCCCCGTCTGTCCGTTGGTCCGTCCGTCTGTCGGTCCGTAGTCCACAATTGCTTGTGGACGCTCTAGAGGCTAAAGTTAATATCCGATTGACTTTAAATTTATACACAGTGTTTCAGGTCTTGAGACGAAGAAGCCTATTGATTTTCAGCGATTTCTGATAATTACTGCCAGAGTTATGGCCCTTGATCACTTCAAAAAATCTTGTGGACGCTCTAGAAGCCAAAGTTAATATCCGATTGATCTTAAATTTATACACAGTGTTTAAGGTCATGAGACGAAGAAGCCTATTGATTTTCAGCGATTTCCGATAATTACTGCCAGAGTTATGGCCCTTCATCACTTCAAAAAATCTTGTGGACGCTCTAAAGGCCAAAGTTAATATCCGATTGATTTTAAATTTATACACAGTGTTTAAGGTCATGAGACGAAGAAGTTTATTCATTTACAGCGATTTTCGATAATTACTGCCAGAGTTATGGCCCATGATCACTTCAAAAAATCTTGTAAATGCTCCAGAGGCTAAAGTTAATATCCGATTGACTTTAAATTGATACAGAGTATTTGAGGTCATGAGACGAAGAATCCTATTGATTTTCAACGATTTCCGATAATTACTGCCAAAGTTATGACCCTTGATCACTTTTAAAAACCTTGTGACCCTCTAGAAGCTAAAGTTATCATCCGATTGACTTCAGATTCATACACAGAGTGTAAGGTCTTGAGACAAACAAGTATATTGATTTTCAATGAATTTTTATGACTTGAACAGCTAAATCCATGATGTTAAAAGTTTCCTATACTAAATGTTAGCATGGGGCAAAACTTTATAAAAACCAAACAAATTCTAATGGTTTTCTGATAATTACTTAATGAGTTGTTACTCTTAATCAGATTTTAATGTTTCATTACCGAAAAAAGTAAAAATATGTGACAACTCTTGTTGACTGCCTGGACGAGTTAGCTGCTGTGGGCGTATGTTTCGTTGCCTGGCAACCTATCTTTCAATTTATAACTTTTTTTTTGAAAATCTGTTAAAATAAACAAATAATAGAGCATTTTCCAAAATTTCACAATTTTTCGACTTTTTTTTTCAATTTTCAGTCCCTTTTTTTATCCTATTCCAGACATTTCTAATTCTTATTGGATGGTTTGATGCAAAAGACTACTGAAAGTACTCTCGATAGAGAAAGTTTAAGAAAAATCCTTGGAGCAGTTTTCGGGATAAAGGCGTCCAAAAACGCTCCAAATCAGAAAATACTTGATTTTCGGCATGCCATAGTTTGCTGCCTGGTCATAATATCCGTATGAATTGGGTATCATACGACAGTCCAATCATCGTGCCACCCAACGATACATTAGTTTGTTTAATCCGTTGAAATTGGACGGAGAAATCCTATTTTTCCCAAAAGCACCCATTTTTTGCTTTTTTTTCAAAATATCGAGCATTATTTCGACTACTTCCGGTTTAGGGATCATTGTTGAAATTGCTTTATCCAACGGTCTGATCATATGGCTTTGTGCTGCAGGGGTTTCAGAAAGATTGATTGATGCTTTCAAAAAAATATAAGGGTTGGAAAATGGGTGGAAAATTCGAAAACATTTGAAAAATAAAGGGCAATAACTCTGAATGAAACTTATATTACTGGAATCGGATGGACATCAGATATCCCAAAATGTAGGTCAAATTTGAAAATTTTGAAAAATAACAAAAATTGTTTCGAAAACAACGTGTTTTCAATTTTCGACTGACAGAAGTCATAGACGAATGTTTGAAATTGAAACATGTGAGATAGCCATTATCTCGGAAAAGATTCGGAGTTTCCGAAAATGTCATTTGTTTGAAAATAGGTAAAGAATGGACGAAATCACGGCCGATTTTCAATTCCGGGAAAAAGTACAAAGTTCGGTCACTTCCGGTATGCGCAGAAGTTTCAAAAATAGTTTATCCAGTGTAGCCACCACATGGTTTCCCGATAGAAAACTTGGTTCCAGATCAATATCTGTTTCAGATCATGGCAAAATAGGCTCCCGCGGAAAAAAATAAAAAATAACTAGATCTGCAAGCAGCACTGAACCGGCTTTCAGGAATCAGACAGGAAGTTTGTCATACAATAGCCCATTCATCGAGCTACCAAACGATACTTTGGATGTTTTGATGCGGTCACACCCGACAGTGAAATCACGATTTTTGCAAGAGCATCGATTTTTACTGGGTTTTTTTTTAAATATCGAATATTTTTTCGACTACTTCCTGTTTACGGATCATTGTACCAGAAGTTTCAGAAAGATCCATTCGACAGTTTTTAAAAGAAAGGAAAATTAGAAGATATTTAACAATATTTAGCAAATAATTGGTAGTCTGATACCAATGTGTTATCTACCTTATACCATTAGAAGAATATATAAGAAGATTGTGGCCCTTTTTGGACCATTTATACTATATATAGGCTTTTAAATTTGGATTCACACCCTAGACCACCGTTAGGACTCTATGTAACAGAAGTTTAAGAAAGAAAAAAGAGAAGTTTTCGGGATGAAAGCCTCTGAATAGTCCCCAAAAATGAAAATACTAGATTTTCAGCGTCCCATTATATATTGCCTAACCAGCCAATTTTTACCATTTAGATGTCATACGATCGTCCATTGTTCGGGCTATTCAATGACACTTTAGTTGTTTTGAAATCTTACGTAGTAATCACTTTTTTCGCAAGATCACCATTTTTTTTTACTTTTTATGTTTTTTTTTCTCAAAATATAGGATATTTTTTCGACTACTTCCGGTTTTTGGACCATTGTCGTTACCCTAAACATATGTCACTTCCGGTACCAATGAAACCATTAAACAGGTTTCCACATAAGCATTGCACACATAAAAAAAAATGGACGCCGAATCAACCAAATCCATCAATATCAATTCATTTTATACATTTGTTACATGCAAGTGTACTTCCGGTGATAATGAAAAGGTTCAATTAGTTTTATGAAATCAATATTGGCATAAGGCATCACATCATGAAACTTTTATGTAAATCAAATAATAATTGCCACTTTTATAGACCAAAAACCTTGAAAGTGACTTGTATAAAACCGTCTATTTCTCTGCAACTGTACAATGTTAGAAACCATTTTCTGGTATCTGTATAATCGTAGGGGTTCAATCGATTTGTTGATTGGAATCAAATATCATAATTTTAAAAACATTACAAATCAGACTCATTTGAATAAACTATCCGTTTTGAAGGCTAAAAATACAGTTTTTGCCAAAATGACGTTAAATCCGGTGATAATGAAAATCTTAAATTACTTGTATGAAATTGCAAATGGCATTAGGTATCCCACAGTGAAAATTGTATGAAAATTGAATAATAATTGACACTTTTATGGACCAAAAACCTTGAAAAGTGACCTGTTGAAAATCGCCTATTTCTCCGCAACTGAACAAGTTAGAAACAATTTTGTGAAATCTATATGACCATATGAATTTTATTAATATGTGAATGTAAACCAAAAGTTAAAATTATTAATAGATATTAAATAATTCTTGGTTGAAAAAAATATTGATTTTAAAAGTTAAAAATGCATTTTTTGACAAAATGGCATCTCTTCTGGTATCAATTTTAAATTGTAATCGATTTGATACGACGCATACTTGCTTTTTGAATCAAATGGTGTCACTTTTGTGAAAATCCAATAATAATTGACTATTTTACAGACAAAATAACGAAAACAGTGACTTATGCAAAATTGCCCATTTCTAGGTAACTGCTTATATTACAAACTAATTTTAACATATATTTTCCTCATATGGATTATAACTACAAGTTTTAAAAAGTTACGTAGAAATATTTTAAAATCTGAAAAGCCTTAATGGGTTGTAAATAGGTCAATTTTAACCTTTTTTCACCTCTTAATCGAATTTGCTCGAAAATGAAATCGAAATTAAAATAACCGAGCCCAACATTTTGTGCGCCTTTAAAGGGCACACTCTTTTAGTTAAACCAGATTTGAAAAAATTAAATTTGCTTTCGAAAAGTGGTACCTAACTGTCAAAATAGTAGTTTTTGGTAAAATTACGCCACTTCCAGTGCAGACAGATAACTCTATCGGTAACAATAAAAATGGCAATTGAGACAACGGAGCATATGAACTTTGTTTTATACAAATCGAACAATAAATAATTAATCTAGGACTGAAAAACTGAATTAGCCAATGGCGGCCAAGGAAAATTACCGAGACAAAAAAAAAAAATCAGATTTTTGCTCTAGTCAGATGACTCGTTAATTTTGTGTAAAACACGACTAAAAAA